GGCACGGTCCGCGATAAAAAGCCTAGGTGATGTTGCAGAAATGTGGAAGAAAATTCGCCAAGTGAACCGCCTATGAAGAGAAAATGCCAAAGGGAACGTTGGAAACGCATTTTTTTGACCTTCTTTTCCTGGACACAAGTCAGTTCAGTCAGTGGTGCAATATTCTATGAGCTTCCCCCAATCCTCAGGGAAAAGCAGGTCTCCTCAAAAGTTGAAGGTACAAAAAAAATCGATCGTGAAGGTTGGCAGAATGATTCGCAAAGCCGCATCAAATTTGTGAAACTGACCCCACCCTACAGACCCTATGTGAAACTTTCATCCAGCATGGTGTATTCAAGTAATCCTGAAGCAACAACTTGTTATTCAGATATAAACTGGTGTAAAAAGTTAGTGAGTGGATGCAGCGCTTACCTTAGCGAGAGCTTCTCTATCCATTTGTCTGCCCTCATTACGTTGAGTAGTTTCATCGATGGCCCGATACATCTCATACTGTAGCGTTCCATCGCAGCATACAGAATCTACGAGTATGTTTATCAACCTATTTGGAATCATTCTTAATCATTTTGTACTGAAGCTGAGGGAAGACAGAACAGAACAATCAGGACGCGTTCATACTTTGCGGCAGCGTCCACCAGCGTCTACCAGCGTCCATCAGCGTCACTAGCGTTCCGAGCGTCCGGCAGCGTCAGCAACTAGAAAAAATAGATATCGATCTAGCTTTTGCCAGCGTCTGCCAGCTGCTAACTGCTAAGGCGCAGATTATGCAATCTACTGTACGGTGTAGTAAGTTGCACGGTGCGGTTGCACACGCCGCAATTTCACGACGCCTAATCCAGCTGTTTGCTACCCTCCTACTTCCCCATACTCTCCACTCCCGGTAGCTGGTGGACGCTATTAGACGCTGGCAGACGCTGGCAGATGCTAGAGCTATACTTTTCTAGCCTTCGAGACGTTGGTAGACGCTGGTAGACGCTGGCAGATTCTGGATCGGTATCTACACCTCCCTAGACGGTAACGCTGCCGAAACGCTAGCAGTCGCTGGTAGACGCTTGTGGACGCTGACGCAAAGTGTAAACGCAGCTTGGAAGACATGGCCTCTGTCGTGGCTGTCACCTTAACCCTTAGCAACGAATGCAAGCGAGTTCTACGGAAAAAATTTCTGTCTCTAGCATGTAACCGCGGAAAAAAAATAGGAACGGAAAATTTTCGGGATCTGACGGGAGTGGAGAAGGCGAACTCCAGATAAATGAAGGTTAAAACATATCTTGACTGAGAGCGCGGTTCAATGTGCAAGTTGAGTTATCGTTAGCCCCTGAGAACAAAATTTCACGTATCCTGAATAAAGTGTAATTACTCATCCGAATCTCCCTTGAAATCAGAAGAATGGGACCACTTCAGCCCATCTCAGCTACAACCCTGGGATTGAAGACTACATCACAAGTGAAGTTTTACATGGGAATCGCTCTGTTCGTAAAAGTCATAAGAACATGTCCGTGGAAAAGCTTCTGTTTTGTTAAATTGAAACGTACATGACTACAGCTTACCACTTACAGCTGTCAGCTCCAGAGGGCAATCGAGCGGAACTGCAGGCCCACTGTCTTCGTAGAAGTTGGTGTGTATTGGATACTGAAGAAAGACAGACTCACGTACAGAAGGTTTTATATATCTCTTTAGAAGAATCGAAAGACATCACACGAGGGAGGGGCACTCCTCAGCGTCTCTGCGTCTCTTCCCTAGCCAATGATTATGCTTAGAGCGGAGACAGAGTCGCCGAGGTCGAGTATAGCGGGCAAACATTTCTAAAAGCTGCGATTATACGCATAACGGCAGAGATCCCCACAACGTACATAGCATCCACCCAGACGTTCACGCGACGCAACCGCAGACCAGCCTATGAATCTACAGAGAAATCGATCTATCGTACCTGCCAGCGTCCTTCTCACGCCGCTACCAAGCAGTGGCACAGTGACACATCACAAACTGCTGGTACGAGAGTATGGGCGGAGTAGAAGGATCAAGCTGTCCTGCTAAACCTTCCATTGCCCCATTCTCAGACCAGCAATCTGCTACTCTCCGCTCTTCTCTCCATATTCAAACCAGTTTGTCTGCTCACACCTCGTCGCTGTGCCCCATACTCCCCTCTCTCACGACCCGCGTCCTTGTGAAGCCTGGCACACGCTTGAGCACGCTAGCAGACGCTAGATCCGATATCTAATACTTTCCAGTTCGTGACGCCAGACCCTGCGCTCAGAAACGCTGTGTTATTGCTTTGGTCATTGGTGGACGCTGCGTTTAAAGTAAATGGCCAGCCTAGAGCGACTTTAATCGTCTGCGCTCTAGGCATTAGCTTTGGCTAGGGAATAGGCGGTGAAGAGTGGTGCACCCTCTTGCCCCAACCTATCAAAATACCTTAATGCCGGCCCATCTCTTTCATAATTGCTCCATATTAATAGCAAGAAAACCATTGAAACAAACCTGCATTGGATGCGTACGCCATAAATCATATAGCTGATCTTACCGAATTGCACACATTGTCTCCTCAAGTAGAGTGAGCCATTGCGAAGTCGTCAGTTGACACAACGATTTCAAAACTCAACTGGAGTCGTTCCTCTATAGCGTACTGCATCGTCTAAAGATATAAATCTGATCAGTCTGAAAGCAATGGTTTGAAATAAAAGGATAAACTTTGCCGTGGTCAATCCCCTTGTGGGATGCGGTACTTATACTACTTCTACTCAGAAGCGTGTGGCTTACTGAATGCGATGGCCTATTACACATGACTTGCGAGGCCAGCCCGATCACAATCGTGAGAAACTGCAAGCAGAATCGTCGGGCAAGCGTCCTGGTCATTGGCACGCCCTCGGCGAAATATTCAGCAGCCACTTACGTGCATTTACACCGAATCGCTTACCTGAGCAGATGATCATGACCGTAACTGAACACAAACTCGATCTCTGATGATATCAATAGTTTACCTAACCCTATACCCAAACCGCCAGAAATACTCGCGTCTTCTTGCTCAAAGTATTCCAGGACACCCCACCCAGGTGCTCCGTACGATTTGCTGACATCCCCAATCAGTGTTCCTATCTCCAGATAACTCTGGTACCATATTTCCGTCACACGAGATAGAAGCTTCTGCCTAGGCGGAAGTCGACCCGGGTAAGCAATGGATATAGAAAATTAAATAGGAATACCTACCCTAGCTAGAAATCTTGTATTGTAAGGGTCGAAACTCGGCGCTCTCTGATACCGAAGAGTTATGGACTGCATCCACTTCGTCAAAATGTAAGCTGAGCATTTTGATCCTGAAAAACTATCATAATTAAAATATTCTCTGATGAACGAGAACTAGTCAAGCGCGCCAGAGCCCGCGATTTCTGTGTAAACCCTACTTCTGAAACAAACTCACTCAGTGCCTATTCAATCAAAACGCATGTACTCCCGTTCATCCCGCAATAGTGATCCTACTGGTAGCCCAGCTCGAGCTCCTCCTGCAATTGTTTGCAGCGGTGTGTGAAACGCACGCTGCCCTGGCAAAGACGTTTCAGTAGCTCCAAGATTATCACGTGATGATACGCCGAGAGTTTTCTCGTCTGCATAGCGAGAGATGTCGTACTGAAAAGCACTTCGTTGTTGACGAAGTTCAGCAGCGCAAGGTCAAGTAGCACATGTAATTTTGTCTTGTCGAAAATAGTCAAGGGGGGGGGGGTGCTACACGTGGCGTCATCCAAGAGTTGATTAGGCGCTCGAACGGTGCAGACGTCGGCGCACCCACCGCGTTAACTTAGAACTGCTCCTGGATTGAATTATCATTTCTCTCTCCTATCTTTTCAAACTCTTTTTTAGCTGCATTTCTCAACTAGTTTTCCTGTGCTCCACAAGTTAATTATTGTTTGAAATTCCCCTGATTTTTGCGAACACTTAAACAATTTAACAAGCAATCATTCACATACTTAAAAGATCGTATTCCCCGTTTCACGTATTATATCAAATTTTAGCAGTTGCTTGCTTCCGACCTCCCCTATCCACCTCGCTTCACGGCTGCCTTTGGGGAAAAACTGGAAACTTCCTTCTAAAAACTTGGAAAAAAGGAGAAAAGCGAGATGGTACGTAGGATGGGGAAAGCAAGGGAGGTGAGGGTCGAGCTTCACACTGCGTTACAGTCTCCCTATTCAAACAGTAACTAGCATAGCATAGACAGAGTGACCCTCACCTGGACAGGTGTAGCATAGGCCAAAGCGACGAATCCTCGCTCACGATACTTACAGATCTCATCACCAACTCCATACGAAGCTATTGCAAAATTGTCCTGCGAAACGAACACCTCGAACGATTGATCGAATCGATTTTGCGCTCGTTTTTGGATCAACTAAATATTACATTTTAAATAGTTATTGCTTGATTTGAGTGGTAGGTATTACTCACGCTAGCGATGCTACCCGCTGCAGTGAAGCCAAACGTTGGTGAGCTGCTCAATTCATAAAATGCATCTGCCATCGTCTCGAATAGGGCACTATTGCAGCACACTTCTCCTTAACTTTTCTTTCATTATTTTTGTAAACACGATTTTCGCAATGCGATTTAACTCACCTATGCGACTTTCTCTGCTTTCCCTGTCGCAAACAGTTCCCGATGGGAAATCTTGCTCTTCACGATCGATTATTGATCCTAGACTGCGATTTCCTCCAACATGAAAACCACCAATTGATGTTGCGGTTATTAGGTCGTCCTCCTCAGCCATTAAGTCTTGAGTGGAAGTCCCTCCTTCCTCAGGTTCCGATGTTACTCCGGGGCCTCCAGCTGCAATATGATTTTGCGTAATACTACTGAAATTAGTTATTAACAAATAATAATATCCTACCTCCTGCGAATGCCACTGCACGTGCTTGCCGTGGACCCGGTTGTACCGATAGGTCATCTGTAAAAATCAAAAGATAGTTTTGTTATGATAACTGCTGTTTAACGCCGCAGTACGCGTTCCGAATGTTATCACAAGAATGCTGAGTTGTGGGCAAAGTCGTGCTCCAGCACCGGCAGAGTACTTCTGCGGCGCCGGCCAATAGAGGGACGAAACCTGCGAAGGAGAGGTCGAAAGTGATTGATCAACAGTAGAAGCTTCTTCACTTTTGAGTGCTGTAAGGCTACGGCATAAAAGCCGTTAAGCTGAGAGGGTAAAAGCGGCCCTGGTGGCGTAACGGATAGCGCACTCGCCCGGAAAGCGTGAGGTGCGGGTTCGACTCCCGCCTGGGGCACGACTTTTGCCCACAACTCAGCATTCTTGTGATAATCAAAAGATAGTGAGATTGAAAGCGAACAAGGGCACTTTGCACGATAGTAGGATGCGAATAATGCGGTTCACATGGGCCGTACACATGACCGCACTTTCCTGGAGTGGGGTTGACTCAGCTAGACCATCGTGATCTGTGAAATAGCAATATCAGTACTACCTTACCACACCCAACTTCCTCATCCAATAGAACCCTTCCCTGCTACCTACAATCCCTCTAAGTTTTCCTGACTTTCGACCACTTTTTTTCCACTCTTCCAAAACGTCAGATTCTCTCCATAAACTGGCTGGGATACGTCGCCGTAAATAAATTAACTGTTTCAGCTACTGGAAATAGTAGCAGAGTACTTCTGCGGTGCCGGCAAATAGAGGGACGAAACTGCGAGGGAGAAGTCGAAAGCGATTGATCAACAGCAGAAGCTTCTTCACTTTTGCAAGGTGAAGAAACACTGAGCGTTTAAAGGAGAGATATAACAAATGGCGAGAGAGACCACACAGACCAGCATGACCGTTATGGACGGCTGCATACAGCCACGTGGGACCTTGGATGCGTTTGCCGGATAACCCCTTGAGGCTGTCCGAGTTTGGCCAGACGTGCAACAGAATCGTCCGAGGCAGCGCCCGCCAGCACGCGGCGCGTCGCGCGGCGAATGACTCAGCAGCTCACTTACGTGCATTTGCTAGCCGATAGCCTTGCCGACTGAAGCAACAAAAATGCTTACAGCAATACATTCGCCAATAACTTGAAAATCTAATGATGTTTTCTTCATAGAACACACAATTGTTTGCAGTTTCAATAAGACGCACTTCAGGAAATAAAAGGAATCAATAGACGCGTTATTCTCCCTATGTTTATGTGATTCACATGATTTGCGCAGCTCCAGCGTCAATATTTGATAGATGGACGGCCAAGTTTTTTTGTGAGCTGCTGTAAAAAATGACACCATCACAGCAAATGTTGAAGACCAATGAATTCACATGCCCTCTAATGAACTTCTTCATACTCTACTAAAACTTAACTGTCTAAAGCTGCGTTTATACTAGCGAGCGTAGCGCTTCGAGCGTTCTTCACGAGCGTTTCACTAGCTTTGCCAGCGGCGCTGCTAGAGAGTTATAGAAGCAATCAGGAGAGTTTTTGAAGCTGTTTTGTTATGATAACTGCTGTTTAACGCCGCAGTACGCGTTCCGAATGTTATCACAAGAATGCTGAGTTGTGGGCAAAAGTCGTGCCCCAGGCGGGAGTCGAACCCGCACCTCACGCTTTCCGGGCGAGTGCGCTATCCGTTACGCCACCAGGGGGCCGCTTCTTTTACCCTCTCAGCATTAACGGCCCTCGCCCGGAGAGTTGAGGTGCGGCGTTCGACTCCCCCTGGGCACGGGACTTGTTGCCCACAGCTTAGTAGGCAGAGTATTTGCAACATTCCTACTTTCTTATACTCTCTAGCCCCGCCGCTGCAAACGCTAGCGAAACGCTAGTGAAACGCTCGTGAAACGCTGGGAGCGCTAGATCGATAGCTATGCTTCCCGTGCCCTCGCTACGCTAGCGTACGCTGGTGACGCTGGGAACGCTAGATCGATATCTATCCTTTCCCCGACACTGCCGCTGGCGTACGCTGGAAGCGCTACGCTACGCTGCCGCAAAGTATAAACGCAGCCTAACAACACAAGACTCCATACTGTGATATCAACCGTCCTTCAGTTAACCCAATAAGAACGATCAGACGCACGCTCGTCTTCATCCCCCCCCTTTCCCCCCCCCCCCCCCCCCCCGCCCCCCCCCCGCAAATGTAATATGTCGCAGGCCAAGCCGCAGCTGACGGCGATTCGTTGCTACACACCCGTCCGAGCTCGCCCTTGCTGGTTCGATTGGGCACATTCTGTACAGTTTGGATAGGGAAGGATTGCTGCATTCAGATAATCGTGGAACGTGTTTCGACTAACAATTCGTTCTCATCTACGTAAGCTAGAATTCACAAACCTCCAGCAGAAGGTTCGACTCTGACATCAGGGTGATCACCACGTAGATTTGCAGATCGTGAGGCTAAACAAGTTTTTATCAGTATTGATTGGATCTGTATTCATTGATTGTAGGGGGAAAAATGTTTGGAAAACAATAATATGAGCAGTCAGTCACAGTACACAAATCATTAACTCGTAGCTATTGCCATGGAGCTATGTGAAACATGGTGGCTCAGCTCACCAGTGACTCTCCACGGTAACTGGGTCACCCAACAGTGCAACCCCTACGATAGCCCCATTCCCTTTTTTGTATGATAGCTTGTTCTGTGGAGTATGCGCGCTTCTTGTGGCACAACTCGCACGTCTCGTGGATGTGCCACGAAAAGCGTGCACATCTTCGTGAAACGTCCACGAGACATGTGACCTGGTAATTACCACATAATTTCAAGATGTATAGTGAACGGTTCACCCAGTCCACCTCATCCTTTTCGTTATCAACTTTGTCCGAAAAGTTTGCTGAGGAGTAAGGAGAGGGAGGGTAGAAACCTACAGCGCTGCTCCTGCGCACGCTGTGACGTTTCAAGTTTCAAGCCAGCTAGCTTTCCACCTATCATGTCGCCTGCCAGCTTCCACAATTAGTTCGGAAGGAGCTGGCGCCACATCAGTGCCAGTCACCTGAAACACCCCAGCATCCGCAGAGAATAAGACTGCACCCAATCAATGACCAGAAAGAGTGATCGAGGGGTATATTATGAGAGCGGAAAAATCAACATTTGAATTTTTTTCGTGGCCAAAAGCGATCCTCCGCTGTTTTCTTCAACGAAGATGTATCCAAAATACGACCATCACTGCGATTTGCACAACGGTGATGTACCCAGTTCGGTATAGGGCTATGAGAGATCAGAATGGGACACAGGGCGTTAGAAAAATAAAAAAGGAAACCTGTGCAATGATTGTAAAAGAGGCAT